AGTCACGTGACCGCGAATCGTTCGGTTATTGGTCATTAGATTGTGCGGGAATACAAACCCCGCACAAACTATCAAAAGATAGTATCAAAAAGACGCTAGTCGATCATGCGTATGAACGGCATGATGAACGTATGAACATTCCGGAGTAGACATGGTGCAAACCACAGATGGATAAAGACCAGACGGCGACAGGCATTAATGAGAGTGTTTGGTGCGTTTCCTGTGATTGGTGTGGATGACGTTCACACCAGAAATGAACCGCTTCAGAGTTCACTTGATAGCGGCCCAAGACCACCTCTTCAGGCGGACCAGAGATCGTTTATTTGGTCCGCACCAGAGTTCGAGGTCAGCGTTCACACCGACCCAAACGAACCGTACCAAGGGGGTAAACGCTCCAGGGTTCGGTTGAACCGGACTAAACGAGGGTGGTGTAAACGCGCCCTTAGATTACTCTTGATATTGAGATCTATCTATCTATCTATCTATCTATCTATCTATCTATCTATCTATCTATCTATCTATCTATCTATCTATCTATCTATCTATCTATCTATCTATCTAAACTGGTGAGTAAACAGCAGGAGGAGAGAGATGGGACTCATGGAGAAACATGCTTCCTGTTAGCTAACTGCTGACACAGTATTAGAAGTCTTCATTGAGGCATGTTAGCAGAGTATTTTTAAATACAAACTAAACAAACCTTTTCAGTGGAATAACTGAGTTTCATCTGAAACTATTTCCATATTGTGTTTTTGATGCTACATACCTTTCTCCCTTTGTTCCCCTCCATCCTCGAACCTCTCTGAATGGTTTGATAACAGACGAGTCTGAGGCAGATTCAAGGACCAGTTGCGCCCAGTCTGTTTCCTGGAACAAGGACACAGAGGCGTTGAAGTTTGGAGTGTTTTTATTCTTTAGAGTTAAGTGGTTTTGAAAGGTGGAGTAACATGACCTCCAACTGCTGTTCATCAACAGGATAAAAAAGAAGAAAGTATAAAGTGCTGCAGTTTTTCTAACAGCACAGTTTCAATATGGAAGTGCCAATCATCAGAATTACATCCAGCCACCCTTCAAAGAGTTCATCTAAACTGATCTGGTGTCACAGTTTGACCGCTGCTCCGTGAAATGAATAACAGTAATTATCTCTTTACAGTGGCACCAGTCGGATATGTTGGGCAGTGAGTCAGCGTTCAGTACTGGAGTTAAAAGCAGGAAAAATGAACAACTACAGGGATCAAGACAAAAGACCAAACTGTAAAGGGGAGTCTGGATCAGTGGGGCTCTCCTGGGTCTGCAGGGTCAGTTGCAGAGTACTAACCAAGGCTCAGTCAGTGCGTCTGCATGTACAGGTAAAGTGAAGGTAAGGTTACAACTAGGGGTGCACTGATCACAAGTTTCAGGCCGATCACTGATCTTTAAAAAGCTTGACCTGCCGAGACCGATTTTGGCCGACACCGTTTTTAAAAAATAACTGACAACATGAACCTTCAACACTCCAATCGTATTTGTCCTCTCAAATATAAATGAAAAGTTTAGAATATTTCTGTCCAAACTACTAAATTATATCAGTTCCTTTAGTCTTTTATTTTCCGTATTTTAAAAATTAACAAAACTTGGTCACATACAGATCAGACTGCAGGCCTGTTCTGAGCTTCTTACCAAGATAAAGTGCACAGCAGTATTTTGCTTTTACAAATAAAGGAAATCAGAAGGTTTAAAGAAGTAAGTAAAATAATAATCTACAGGACGAACTAACAACACAACCAACAATAAACTGTCCTGAGTTTTAGGTTTCCTTGCGGTGGGTTCAACATGCATTGTTGCTCACGCTCTGGATGACTGTTGTACGTGCCGCTGGCGCAGACTTGTGCGTCACGCGTCATTCTGGCAAAGCAAAAAGCTACAACAGCTGACTTTCAGACCTTTGCTGAGGTAGATAAGATTGGTGGATGAAACCGGTTTCATATTTAAGGATCAGCCGATCACCGATCCCCCAAAATGAAAGAAATCGGCAGAGATCAATCAGCCAGAAATAGCTGTAAAAAAACTGTGCTGCATGATTAAGTCTGTTTTTTTTTCTCAAAGAAAATCTGCCATTTCAAAATGTCCAAGCATCCCGACTAAGAGCCATTTGAGGTCATAGTTATTGAGGACTGTAATAAACAAAACCATTTGTAAATCTGTCAAGATTTCAGCGAGTTAATCCTACGAAAAAAATATCACCTGGGGCTGAGATGAGACGGGGCCGGAAGAACGTCGCGTGTGTACTTCACCTCACGAGCTGAACACCTGCTTTACCCCTGATTGGCTGTTTTGCCGATATAAACAAATAAAAATAAGAAAACAAATACTCTCTCCTCTTTCTCTAGTTGTGCTCGTTTTACATCTGGACTAAAATCCGCTCCTCCTTCGTTTCTGCTGAAATGTTAGTTTAATATCTTTATAGCGGCTCTGCCAATAATCAGTGTGTCTATCTTTGGAGAGCACTTGATTAAGGTTATTTATGGATACTATGGATCTCTGCTGCTCAATTATAGGTCTGTGATTACCTCAGTGTTAGGTCAATATCGCCATCGATCATTTTGCCATTAAATTCATTGATCAGCTGTTGTTGTAACCTCTTATTGATCACTTCAGGTCTCTTTTAATCCATCTGTTTTTTCTCACCTTTGGTCATATCAAATGTTGTAGCTGTCACCTGTTGACCTTTTTGATTAATAGACTTGGCGCCACCAAAGTGTACCAACATATTAGTCACCTGTTACTTCGGTATCTACAATAGAGAGGAGGTCGTTTAGCGTTGTTGAAATCTTCACATGTTGATATTTCAGGATGTTTAAGGTGACAAATGCATCATAACAGTCACAGGTTCAGGTAATTTTGAGGCACAAGCATCAAGCCAATCAGAACAGAGCGTATTTGGAAATGGTGGCGTTTAAAGACCCTCCTTCATTACAAACATGGATTCAGTGAGGACGACAGGAAAGACGAACTGAAGAGTCTCCACACTTTCACAAAGTTTATCGATGGATTTTCTTTTCCATCCTGCTGAAGCTCAAAGTTATTAACAACTTAAACATCAAGCAAAGTTCAGCAGGACTGCGTGTGAGCTGTGATTGGTCAGGAGGCAGAAAGGGGGCGGAGTCTGATGTCTTAATCTGTCTCCCAGTTCTCCGTGTTTACCGTCCAAATAATTTAACTAATGCTGTTTATCCGGGGGAGATTAAGACACTCTGCAATCTGCCTGAACAAACAGCCAGCGTGTGTGTGAGTGTGTGTGTGTAATACCTGAGTGTGTGTCCCACTCTTATACAAAGGATCTGACTCTCCATGTCCTCACGATGAAAACTCCTGAAATCGTGTCTCAAAACTGGGATGAACGCTTCGTTTGACAGACTTTGTGGATTTTCTTTTGCTTATTTTTCAGACTCTCTGTATGTTTTCGTGTTTGTCTCCGTTCTAATTACTCCAAGAGAGATTTAAAGGCGCTGCTGAAGAGTAACAGTAACTTACCGTCATTTCGACATAAAACTTCAAAATAAGGCTGCACGATTTTGGAAAACACTAACACTGCAATTTTTTTCAACCCTGCGATATTAAAAAAAAGAGGAATTTTCATCAGATGACCTGAATCTGACTTTCTGCTGAAATCTTGAGGACAGTTAGTGAATGTTAGTAGAATGATTTCTGTCTGTCTCAGAGATATTTTTAGCTTTTATTGTTCTGGGGCGTTATTGTGGAAACAGAACATGAGTTAAGGTTGACATCATCCATCTTGTAACTGAAATAATTCCAGATAACTGACTTTTCTTTTCTTTTTACCAACAAATCTTTATTTTCGATGGTTTTCTTTTGTTTGTTTCTCATTTTGCAATCGTTGTTGTTGTTGTTACCGGTGTTGTGCTGAGAAACGCATGCACCTCGCAAAACGCGAACCGCTTATAGTAGAGTGGTTCATGGAAATGTACAATTTAAAACCCATACAGTTCTTATTTGTGGGGCTAAACAGTCAAATCAATGTTTATTTATAAAGCACCTTTAAAAGACAGCAGTGAAACAAAGTGCTGTACATGGGATAAATAAAAGAAGTAAATAAACAGATAAAAATAAAATTAAAAACAGTCGAATAAAATACAGACAGTAGAAGAATAAGAGCTACAGCGCCTCTGATTCCTGTGTGCTCATTTATATAGAAAAGGTGGGTCGTTAAAGATGATTTAAAAGGCCTGAGAGGCTCTAATACGGCAGCAGGTAAACTGTTCCACAGTCTCCAGGGAACCGCTGAAAAGGACCTGTCACCTCAGGACTTGAGTCAACAGTAGCTGGACAGAGGACTTTAAGGCTCTGGCTGGGGGGAGGTGATACAGGAGCTCAGGTAACAGACAGGTAAGGAGGGGCGAGACCACCGAGGGCTTTAAAAACGATTAAAAGAATTTTAAAATCAACAGTGATGAGGAATGTTCCCAAAGTAATTCTCAGCAGGTACGCATTTCTCAGCACAACACCGGCAGCGCCAGCGACTCACTCCATGTGCAGGGGCGGGGTTTCCTCCACTCTGATTTTGATTGACAGCTGGCAGGGTAGTTTGATTGGCAACTGAGTAAAGAAAAAATGCAGATGCACATGCAGTGTATCTCAAGTTCATTCACCTCCGACATCGCAGGCTCTGCGAAATGACTATTGCGCACACGTACATCGCCATGACATTTCTCAAACGATGTATCGTGCAGCCCTACTTAAAAACTACTAAGAGAGAGAGACAGCCTTTTAATAGAAGAGCAGCACAAATCTGCACCTATTGCAGTGAGTCGGCCTCTGACCTCTCAGCTGCCTCCTCTTCTTTTGGACTGGAAGTTGATCCTCCTACACATCAGCAGCTCCCTCTCCTCTTCCTCTGAGTGTCTCTCTCTCTCTCTCTCAGAGCAGTGGGAGGGACAGGCTTTCATTTCCTCTCTTTTCATGCCTGTCACCTTCTCTTCGCCCGTAAAGCCGAGCAGGACAGGAGTTTGGCAACTTTCAACACGAGGTGGAGAGAAAAAAAAAGAGAGAGGAAAATAAATAAGAGAGAGAAGATGAGGGAGCGTGTGCGGCGGATCAAAGCCACCTGGGACGGAGAGATAGAATTTAAGTCAGCCGCTAACAAATGATGTACACAGCTAACCGGTGCCAGCAGAGAGAGAGACGGAGACAAACTCGACGACGGCGACGAGGGACGAAAACAAACCTGCTATCAGGGATTAGAGCGAGGAGCTGAGCCTTTCAACAACTTCCTTTCAGCCTCGAAATGAAAACACAAAAGAGGAGCTTTGGATGCTGAGAGTTTTTGGCGTGAGAAGTTGGCCTTCCTGTAACAGATAAGCTGCTTGTTGGAACACCTGAGTGTGTCCATCAGGAGAGACACCGAGGGTCTGCTGTCTGCTCGAAGAAACCTGACTGCAAAGCATGAGGTCCGTGTTTGAGGACGCACCTGTGTGGACCAGGTGAGCATAGACTCTGTGATACACTCATCTTCATCATCTTCACGGCGTTTTTAAAATTCAGGTCTGAGTCTTGGCTTTGGCGGCCGAACACCTGAATCTCACTTTTTACTTTAGTTCAGCTGAATAGAAACTTCAGCTCCTGTTTTTCTTTCTAGTCTGATCCAGCAGGAGAGTATGGATGTTGATCAGAGGAGGCCCAAGGATGGAGCCTTGGGGAACCCCACATGTGATTTTTACCTGCCTAACCGCCAAGAGGAGCTTCATGAGGATTCTAATGAAGAAACTTATAGTTAGCTAGTTTTGACTTCCCACCGTGGACTGTAGACGGACTCGGTGATTGTTCTTTAAACCAATAGTTGAATATTTAGAGGGAGATTCATGAGATTTTGCCACCATTGTCAACGGTTTTCATGCAGAAAATCGACCCCGTACAGAAAGTCTCATAAAGCTCTTACAGGTTAAAGTGTCGCTCCATCTCTGCAGCTTCTTCCTGACCTGTTAGCCGGAGTAACTCAGAGTAACTCAGAGTAACTCGCTGTTCTGTCGTGTCATCTCAAAACCCTCTGATACTGTACACGCAATGAGATTTTATAATTAAAGCAGACGCAGAGTTGGTTTTTACACTCCAGCAGTTTGCACGACTCGAGATGGATTTATGAAGCTGCTGCAGGATCCAGCAGTAGATGGTCCGAGTCCACACACTGACACACACACACTCACACACACTCTCACACACACACTCCTGCCCTGCATAATTGCTTACTTGAGAAGGTGACAGTAGTGAGCAAACAGCGCGGTCGTGGCGTGACGTTACAGTTGCATATTTTGATCATTAAAGCCACGCTGTAGTATTTTGTTTTATGCACGGCCGCCGAGCCGTCTCCTTTGACAGATGCTAATTGAAACTGGCCAATTACGTGCGGAGGAAGGCCGGCAATTTGTAAAGCCGACAGGCGCTGATTTAAGGCGAGTATCAGCGGGCCGTTCGCCTGCTCGCTCTCTCCTCTGAGATTTAATGAATATTCACTCCTCAAACAGCAAGACTGCGGCTCCTCTGTGGACTCTGAGTCCGAGGAAGGAAATCAAACAAGTTTCTGATGCAACAGGAGCCAACACATTCACACACACTCTGATGACTCTATAATTAACTGATTGAAAAGTCTATTGGCAAGACAGTTGACTCGTAAAATCCATCAAAATAACTACAAATCGATCAAACATCGACATACAGATACGAGAGCTGCTTAAAAAAGGCCACAGATTAACCAGATTGGACAAAGACCAACTCCTTTCTACAAACTTGGCGTGGATTCTCTCTTATCTTCATTTTGAACAAATCTTCACTCTTTATTTTTATCATAAAACAGCCAAACGAATGAAAGTACCACACATTTTCCCAGAAGTGTTCTTTCATTTCGTCTTCTCTCTCTCTCTCTGAAACACAAATATCTCAAAATAGCACGGAAAGACATGTGGTTCACTTACAAGACAAACGGCGTTCATGCTATAGCGACCATCTGTCTCATTCAGGCCCCGTTTAGTACTCGGTTGTTGCTTCTGACTGGTATGGACTCTATAGAGTGCTGTATCCAAAACACTTGGGTTTTCTGCTGTGGGTTCAAACGTCCATAAACGTGAGGAGGTCTGTGCAACACTTTAGGACTGCTGCATCTGTTAAACAGACCTGGGGTGGGTGGGAGGAAATGGATACATGGGAAGGAAGGGTAGATGGATAGGATTATTAGTAATCTTTGTAATAACAGATAGTGAACAAGCTGATAGATAAAACCTTGAAAAGAACAGTAGATAAATCGAAAGCCTCTCTGTAGAAGTTTCCTCTAAAAAATAGACGACTTTTAAGTTATTTTGTATTTTCTGTACATGCAGACTCCAAAATTAACAATAATAATATAAATGTGAAAGTTTTTCTGTGTTTATTTGCTCATTAAATCCCATTTTCCTACCATCTATCTCCACTAACCCGCTCACTTCTGGTCCTGCTGTGGCCATCAATATAAGGCGGCCCTGCACCCCAAAACACTATATTTACATTTCTTACTTAAAAGAGAAGTTTTAATTTCTTACTTTTATTTTTTAATGGTTTTGTGAGATGAAACAGATCCCTCTTGTTTGATGAGACTAACTTAGGACAGGAGCGCTGTTTCAGGACCATGGACAGCGCTGTTTCGTACGCCAAAGAGTGTTTAGTACTTTCTCTTTCTGTGGTTACTAAGTAGATCTTTTTGATTTCCTTTGTTCGGCTGCAACCCAAAGGTGAAAATAAAATCTGGACGGACACGGTCAACGACAGAGGGACAGAGAGAGGTGCAAACCAGATAAGCACATTAAACTGAACAGGTTAGCTTACGAGCTAAAGTTACTTAGCACAGATGAAAGTTAAAACAAAGACGTTTATCAAACTGTTAACGCTCACAAACCGTCGTCATATGAGAAATCCGACGCTATGACTCTCCACAAGTCGTCCTTCAGGTCGTTTATCTTTGTACTGTTTGTGTCTTTTATCAAAAATCACTCTGTTCTCCGACACGTAAACAATCAGCCGGTTGGCCATGTTGGATATACCGGTGAATCCGACGTCGCAACAACATGAAATCTTATTGGTCAGAAGTGGACACACAGTGTGCGAAACTTCAGAAAATTCGACCGGGTTCAAAAAAATATTGACGTCCGAAATAATGACACGAAAAAAAGGGTCCCGATGTGTAAGGACCTTCAGACGTGCTGTTCTAGAACTGCAGTCCCGTATGTGCAGCCTCCAGGTCTGCAGACACAAACTCCACCTTTTTACACACTGAAAATTTGTTGGAGTCAGCATTCACAATGTGGTCACTACATACGCTTCAGAAACCGATTGACACTTTTGACCGGTGGGCAAAAGACGAAGGAATATCTGAGAAAAAGAAGTGATAAAGAGAAAAGAAAAGGAGTGGAAAAGCGGAAAAGTTCTGCAGGAATTTGAACATAAATGGGACTTAACCCTATATTGCCTTTTGTATCATATTTGATACATACTTTTATATACTTACAGTATATCAATAATATAACAAATGACTAAAAACACACCTGAATACAGTCCAATGAATGATAAAAAAAATTTCCTCATGTAGTTTTTCAGTTTCCAAAAACATCTAATGCATCAAACAAGATAAATAAATATATTTGTTAAATTTTAAGGACATTTAAATTTTTTTGGTTTTCAGTAGTAAGTAAAATAAACATTTCAGCTCCAAAAAAATTGAATTTTCTGGCCATAATTTGTGGTTTCAGGCATTAAAGGGATAGTTAGCATGGCTTAGCATAAAAAACAGAAACAAGAGGAAGCTACTAGCCGACCTCACTGACACTGTTGCATCTTGGGACTTTTTCTTCACGCTCACTTCATCTCTCCGCCTCCCACGTCACTTTTCCCTTCATGCTTTCCCACTCTTCCTCCCTTTTCAGCCCGCTGTTCCTCCTCCTGCTGAGTCAGGCTTCACGCCACGTCTCCTCAGAAAACCGTCATTTTTTCTCTCATCAGCTTTAAAACACTTTCCTGCTCCATATTTTACCATGAGCCGGGCGTCTCCTTGGAGTTTGGTGTCTGTTCATCACCGAGGCTCGGGGACGGATGAGTCATTAGTCTTCCTGTAAGTTTTTTCTGCTGCAGACTGAATTGCGTCTTTGTTCCTATAAATCTAATAAAGAGCCTGATTGCTTTTGCTAATCATCCTGTGTCTTCCTGCTGCTGCTTATTGCTGCCATTAATTTCTGAGATAACTGGCCCTCTGCTCGAGCACAGAGCCACGATAACAACCCTGTGTGAGTGTGTGTGTGTCTGTCTGTGTGTGTTTGTATGAGTGTGTATGTGTAAACTAAACGCCGGGACTTCCTCTGTGAGAGTTTTTTCCTGCTGTTGGAGAAGAAAAAGAAAAAAGGGACACTTCTTTTTTCATCTGTGGTCTTTTGTGTTTTTGCTCCTTTTGGTCACGCTTTGGTAGGTCTCTCTTCTTCAGTGTTTTCACCCTTCACAGATTTATTATAACGCACTTTGCTTCCTTGTGTAACTTAAACAGAGTTGTGAAAGGTCTGCTTAGATGTTTCACAGCTCAGGAGCTGCAACCTTCACAAAAGGTGAGTCCTTCAAGAGTCAAGGAAACTGAACCTGCACCTCCTCCGTGTTTAAGAAGGACAAACGGAGCACAAGAGGGCCAACAAGCACTTCAGGGCGACTCACAATCGACGAGTTTACAATCGGTGAGTTTCCATCGAAGGGCTAACAGAGCAGAAACTCACAGGAGAAGAGGCAGTTTGGGCGTTTTCTGAAAAAGTGATGAAAAAATCCGTTTCTTTAATGTCAGTGAAATCTTAACAGTCTGTACGGCCTTTGGTGACGGCTTTGGTAACAGTCATTTCTTCATCTGTTAGACTGATAACGTTTGTAATCTTCTCATATTCCCATTGGTAAGAAGAATCTGAAGCTTCAGTTTCATGTAGTAAAAGCCTTACCCCCAATTTCCACCACATTCGGAATAGCGACGAAAAGGTTGAATCCGCCGATTGTAGCTGATCGTCACCATCCAAGTTAACGTGTCAATTTCCACCACACGCTTTCGGCTCTTCCACTCTTTGGAAGGACACAATCTACTGCTTTTATGGTTAGCCTATGTGGCTAAAGACAACTTATCATGCGATTGCACGTGAATCCGTGGGTTCGTGAGCTCTTGCGATTCCTGCTGTCCGTAATCCGCCACGAGATTCGCCTCACAAACGGATCTGGCAGATGGCGAAAATCGCAGCTGTTCCAGATCGGAGCTGTTCTGGATGTGGTGGAAAGTACAGTTTTAGAGGAGAGGGGTTAAGCTAGCTAGTCGAGCTTCAGATCTATGCTCTGAGATGCTGTCCTAATGCAAGGTCGGCATCTTTTGAGGACTAGCATTGCACTAAAGATTCATAGCGTTGTAGACACCATGCAGGACTTCTCGTTCCGTGATCTTCTGCTGCCTGAGGGATTCACCAAGTTCACTAATCTTTCTGTTGTACTTTTGGATGTCAGCAGTGTCATCCTGGATAGTGGATCTCCTTCTTCCTCTTAGTGTCGACCTTCAGGGTGCTGGATTTAGGATGAAACCCTCCATGTATTGTGAGGAGCTTTCTTATCTGTTTCTTCTACTACTATGCCAGCAGGGCGTCGGATCACTAGCAGAGTCTCAGTGTTGATGGCTTTGAGATCTTGGTCTTGTACCCTTCAGGACTTGCCTCACTCTGTGGAGGTATTTGGCTGTAGATGATCTCCTTGTGGTTCCCATCTACTTGTGGGATCCAAACATCTTGCTATGTTGCCTTCAGGTGCATCATTCCTCCCGGTTGTGATCGTCTTTCCTCTCTTTAAAATCCCATCCTGACTTCATTGCTGTAGATCTGAGTGAGGTGGATCAGCGAGTCGTGGTGTACAGCTCGGTGTCATCCATGCAGAAGAGGTGGCCGATGAAGAAGGTATCGAGACCAACTCTGTGTGATGATCTGATGGAGAAGGTCCAAGCCTGCGCTGAACAGAGTGGTGTTGGTACCACCACTTGTGCAGATGTCTTTACCTGGAGAGTCGTCCTTCACAGCCTCACTTCTGCTCACTTTCTAAAGCACAGTGACAGAGACACCTCCTCCAGATGAAGAAGATAATATAATATATATAAGATAAGATGTGCTGTAAAAACTGTTGATGTGAGTGAAGATATATTTCTGTCTTTAGCTGATGGCACTTTGTCCACAAAGGCACTCAGTCACTGGATGCTACAGAAATCTTCCCTCATTACCCGAATCCCTTTCCAATTGAAACGTTCGGCCTTCAGCGACCCGTCTGCTCCACGTCCCTTCCTCGTCCAGCAGCAGGACGTCCGGCCCAAATCTCCATACAGCAGCACTTCCTTTCCTCCACTCGGCTAATTAGCCGGAGTCACGGCGAGACGAGCTGTCTCCAGGGTTTTATTCTGCTCTGCTTCTCTTTCCATCTCCTCTCAGTGACAGTCAGTGTTTTTATTTCTGTGTTTTTTAATGAGAGCTCGGCCTTTGTCAACACTAGACAATTTCTCCCACTCATTTAGTCTCCTCTTTTATTTCTCCCTCTGTCATTTTTTTAGCTGAAGGGGCAGCAGAGAAAGCGTTCGCACTCTCTGATAACCTGAGTTGAAACGCATTGATCTACCCAGAAGCAGATGCAGTCCTGTCGCAGGAGAATTGTCACCGCTAGAAAAGACCTCTACCGAACATAATTACAGTCATGAGTGTGTGGTCTCGTACACATAGTCCTTTCAGAGCTGGAGGGTACATCTAAACATGTCTGAATATAATTGCGCTGCGTTAAAAAGCCCATTAATCTCTGGTGTATTGATTTTCCCTCGCACTAATGGACAGCATTGTCTCACAGCCCTTTAAATGGCGCATCAGGAAGAAAGACGCGGCTCTCAAACGCTTTAGTTTGAAGCCTAATTGGTCACTAAGAGGGTTTAACACCAAACTTCAGAGACTGTCCTTAAATACAGCCCAGGTGAGAGCACGATGGGACCCGGTGGGCAGGTGAAATGGACCTTCACTGCTGTACTGAATGATGAGCTTTCTGCCTCCAGTCAATATCTACATCCAGCTGCTCAAACGGTCCGATTGGAATTAAACGCATAAATTTTACATCATCATATTGATCCCTCCTCTAAAGCTAAAAACTCCTGAGCTGAAATCTGAAAAATTAACATTTTATTGATTTTTATGACTTCACCTTTTGTATGGGAGCACAAAGACTGCAGGTAACTCCGGATCAGACACCTTGAAAGCAATAAAATATACAGAGTCCCAGATTGTTGGTAAATCTGTGTGTCGCTTTTTTAAGTCCTTGTTACGATAAACCTGAATGCAGTGAAAAACTCATGAATAACCACCAATAAGGAGGGGGTGGATGCCGAATGTTTCATCTATGAGTGTTCCCAGATAGTGCACACATATGTCGTGCCGACGTCGGCCTCAGAACGGCACGGCGGCCTCTAGTCTATAACTTCTGACAAATATCGGCCCAATAGCAGATGAAGAGCTCCAATGACCCAGCTCATCTAACATCGCAGTAAGGTTATTTTTGCGTCGGCTGGCTGACCCCGCCTTCCAGTTTGGACAGTCACCCGATGGCAGTCACCGTCACATGCCATTCAACGCAGAGTAAAATACTCCAACTTCCTGCCATTCTTTTTCAGGGAAGCTACTGACATAAAGTGGCAGAAAATAACTTTTAAGGCAATTCCGTGACGGTTATTAAAGTTGCTAACAACTGGGTACGCCCAGTCTCCTCTCAGACGCAAACCGACCCGGTTGCTCCAGTTAAGCACTAAAGCACCGGACTGCTTGTCCCTGTGCTGCTGTCAGCTCCGTTAGCTTTTAGTGTAGTAGTCCGTTCTTCGACACGTTCATCTGATCCGCACAGATCTCTTCCACTCAGTCAAATGGATCCGGTCATTAAAACAAGTGATGCAGTTGAAACTATTGAAGGTACACAGTGAAGTGAGATTTATTTCAGGCTGTCGGAGGAAGAACCGGTGATGTTCGCCGTTTTGCAGGTGTTCGTTTCTTCCATCTGTGCTGAGTCTGGACAATAAAGTGTTTTGACTTATGGCTTTTCATTGTTCACACAAGAAAGTAGGAATCAATTAGCAACTAGTCAGTATTAGGTCAGCATTGTATTCTATTCTATTCATATATATAAATAAAGGTCATGAGCTACAACTTTGATTCATCATCCAAACATCGTGTGTCAATCATTTTAGATCAAAGGCCGACATCTTTGCGACATTGTGGCGACCAGCAAACGCTCTCCTCGCTACAGTTGGCGATGGAACCAGTTGTATCCGGCGGACGTTGGCATGACGTACGTGTGCTAACTGGGTTATATTTGGATTTTTGAGAGTTTGTTCAAATCAGGTTATCTGAAGACATTCGAGTGACTGAAATGCCAATTTCACCAAAATGTCATGAATCATGTCGTCTAATCGTTTCACATTTTTTGGAAGAGTTTGTTTTGGATTATTTTGAGTGATTGGTAAGACCAGACGTGACAGCTGGGTCAGAGCGTTATTGATTCAGGATATTAAAACCTGCATTAGTTTAGCTCGTAGGTGGACGTCTTACATAAAAACTGTCCTGAATTAACACCCAAAGCAAAACAGGTAATGATTGAACAAACACAAGCAGATCTGTTTTTACATTTAAACAAAGAAGTCTTTTTTTTTTTTTAATCAGAAAACAGTTGAAAAAAATCTGTACTGATGACTGTGTGGGCAGCCATGTTTGAGAAAACACACCCGGACCTCTGGGGGATTGTAAAGGTTTAGTTTTATTTGTTTTTGCTCATCAGAAGTTGACGACTTGTGAGGGAAACTTCTTGGAAAACTTTCTAAGTGGAGCAACTTCAGTGAAACACGTGTAGGCGTAAATAGGATGAAAAATACAATACCTTTACTCTCCTGTTTGTCTCCTTTTCTGAGTTTTTCAGCAGACAAGGACACTTCTGCGGAGACGGAAAAGTACCGCCGTGCTGTCTGACCCTGGGACGCAGATACATGATGATATCATAAAGCTTCACTCAGCAAACAAACCTTTCAGGGTACAGTACAGGAAGACGAGGAAATATCTTCAATTTATTTCATTGTCCTCAGGTTTGTTGTGTTCTTACTGCAAGAATACAGAAAATTCATCACAAACATTTTCCTCCATCTTAAAGACTCGTTTTGTTTCCTACATCGTCTAACTTCTGACTCTGTTGTCTCTGTAATCCCTCCGATCACAACCTCCACCTTTACTCTGATTCAAACAGCAAAGTTGGTGCTTTGTGACAGTATATCTGTTTTTTTCCGTCTTATTGTAAACCGTCCAAAATAAAGTAGGTAGATAATTAAATGTACATCAGTCGGTCACACATTGAGCCAAGGTCCGAACGTTGACAGGTCGAGAAATCTGAGAGAAAATCCAGAATATTTACCTGTAATCAACTTGGTCTGTTACATTTAAAGTAACTTTGTTTATTCAATAGTTTATAAAACAAATTAATTTCATCTGCCTTCTAACAAATTGAAGAAAGAGTAGAATAATCTTTATCACGATGTCTACTCCGGGTTATAAAATAGACCTTTTGTTGCTGATAAATGAGAAAAATCCGGTTGGGATCATGTTTTTAGCGTCTTCTCCTCAGTCTCCATCTCCCCGCTCCACCGCCGCTGTTATCCCATCGATATCGCCACTCCAACAATCGATCGACGCCCCTCTTAAAAAGTCAACAGCCAATTGACACCTGTGTTTTTCCTCTAAAGTTCGGCAGGCGGTCCAATCAGAGTCGAGTGTGTAATCCATCTCCTCTTCCGTCGCCTTCGGCTCTCCATCACACAGCGGGGACGAGCAGGAAGTGGACTTTTAAAAGACGGCGCTCTGATTTCCTGCTCTCTCGCTCGTCCGTCTGAAGGTTTTAGTCCTGAGGATTTTCATCAATACCAATCTGTGCCCAGACGCCTCCAATCGCAGCGGCTGATGCTGGAGGTTTTATTTCAAACCGTCGCCTCAGACTCCTTCCTGTCCTCTCCGCTCTCATTTATTTGACTTTGGATTTTTCTCCAATAAACACGTGTGACCTGTGGGCTCTCAGTGGCAACAAAGTGATTTATTTCTCATTGAAAATCTCAGAATCTCATTATTTACAATTACAAAATTACAAAAACAGCCTCCTTCAACTTTTAACTCTCCATAGTTTCACTTTCTAAGTTTTTTCCGTCACTTTCTCTAATCTTAAACTCGCCATTTCACACCGACTTTCTTTTCCCACTTTGAGTCCACTCCATTCTTCTTCTATGCACTCGAACATCCCCTCTCCTGCCTTCTCATTCTCTTGGTTTTATTCATTTCAATTTATTTAACAAGTAAAGAGATCAGATTGGAAATCTCTTCCCTCCACTGACTTTAATAATCAAACGGCCGATCTGTTACTGGGTTATAGTCCCGGTTTACACGACTCTCTCCTCATGAATCCTCTACAATCATTGACTCCTAAACTGTTTAAAGTGTGAATCAGAAACAAATTTAGTGCAAATACGTCAAAAATGTACAAATATAGAAGATGATGCAGGAATAAGAACAAGAACACGAGCACGCACACGGTAAGAAAACCGTGTGTCTCCAAGCTAGTCGAAATCTCCACGCAGAATTCTGCTCTAAGTTCATGTCTGAACTCTCTTAAAGTGACAGTAACCCTTAAGCATTAAAACCAATAATAATTCGCTATACATTACAAATAGCATTGATGGTTTAAAAACCACATTTATACCTCTTATATACAAAAACACGAATAAAATAACACATTTTTGCCTCGTACACTCACGACACGACTTCCTGCATCTTCACCGGCTACCAACTTCAACTTGAAAATGTCTCACAGCTGGAGTTGTTTCAATGATAATAAACTTTTTTGGTAACACATAGATAGTTTATTAATGTTTAATCATCATTTAAAAACAGCATATAGA